GCCCAGCTCCTGCCAACACCGACTCTACGTTGATCTACAAATTCAGCATCATTCCGACCAAGAAGAGAACAGTAGGACAGAGTGCAGAGGGCAGGGGGGCCTCTCAGGACAGCCAGCTGACTCCTCTAACATGAACCCCGGGGTGTAACACTGCAACCATAAAAGCAGAAAAATGGGGAGAGTTTTGAATTTCAAACTATCAGTTTTAGTGTGGGAAAGGCCCCTGCAGAACACGATCCGTGTAGTCCCAAAATTATGAAAATATGACTACATAAAATTTTTTTTCTTTTTTAAAGATTCTAACTCAGTACACATAAAATTTTGACAGGAAGAAATACCATGAGCTGTCTGATGAAGAAAGTGACCAGCTGAGAATGATGTCGGAGTGTGGATGATGGACAAAGCCTCCTTTCTCAATATGTAAACATTTAAAAATGAATCAATAAGGAAAACACCCCTAAGAATATGGGCATCTACCGTTACAGAGCTTCACGTCCCATGTGTTGGAACGATGTTTTTAAAACACTTGTACTTAGCTTCACTGAGGAGTGAGCTTCATCTGCGGCTGCCTGTGCCAGCGGCTTGTGCCCTTCCCCTGCTGCCCTGTGTCCCTCGGTGGAGGGGAGGGAGAGCACTGGGGACTGGATGGAGCGTGTTGTGTTCCCTACAAGCCTGGTCCTGTCAAAACGAACCCCACTACTACGTATGACTCTAACGCTCTGATAAACGCATAAAAGGAGTCATTTCTGTTTATATAAAAACCCTGCCTGACCATTTTCCAAACATCGTCGTGCCACTCCGCCTTCCCACTGTGGCCAAGACACGGGCCTGAGATGGCCAACTTATGGCCGCTTGCACCACAGTTTGGAGGTTTGGTCGATCCGCCCTGCTGCTTTGGGGCCCCTGCCGAGGCAGCACCTCACAGCAGGGCCAGTGGCAAAATAAAGCCAGTCACCCCTGGCCAGGAAGCAAAAGAGAAGGGGAGGACTGGCTCCCCCTGAGGAGCTCCCACTGGACCCCACCTCTGAGACTCCATCTGTGGACAGCCCACCCTGGGAACAAGCCTTTAATACACAGGCCTGCAGGGGACAGTCGGGACTGTCCAGCTGCTAGATCAGTCCTAGTAATTGTAGCCATTCTTCGGTGTCTGCAGAGAGAAACGCCTCGGGTTCCCATTTCTATTTCCCTAATGATGGATGGTGCTAAACATCTTTTCATGCATTTTTATTTTGCCGTTTTTATTTTTTTCTTGGTGAAATGTCTGTTCAAACATTACATAATCTAAGGACCCTGCCTTCTTAGTCCACCATGTCTGGGCCTGTCTCAGTTGACTGATTTCTCGTCTGCTTGGAGTCAGGATCTCTACCTGATGATTCTTGTTTGTGTGTCACACTTTGGCTTAGCCCGTTTTCCTGCTGTTATGACAGAACATCACAGACTCCATCATTTATTTGAAAAGGAAATGTGTTTCTCAGAGCTCTGGAGATTGGGCAGCCCAAGGCTGAAGGGTCACATTGGGGGCCAGTCTTCCTGTGGCATGGTAACCCAGCAAAGGCCTCGCCTGGTGAGAGCAAGGGGACTGGGGCCAGAGAAAGCAGAAGAAGCTGCGTTCTGCCGATGTCTTGGGGGGCACCAGAATCAGGAGGCACCACAGCTTTGTAGGTTCAATCAGCAATTCTTTATTCCCGATCTCACACCAGCCTCCACACACGTTCAGGGGCAATTCCCAATATGTCTGATCCCAAATCCTACTCCAAGAGGCTTTTTTCAAATCCCATTTGAATCTCAGGAGAACTCAAGGGGAACAAGCAGCAGGAACACCCTAATCCCAGCAGCAATAATCTTCAACCTCAACTTCCCTAAAACTCCTATTGTCACGCCCTAAACCCAAGGACGGAGATACTTCCTGCAGGAATACACCCTAATCCTGGATCCACCCTGGTGATTGAGCAGGGTCACCTTTCKCAAACACACAAGCAAGGTCGCAGCAAATTTCCAAGGCAAGTCCATTTAACATGGGGTACACTGGCAAGGATTACGATGTGTCATACCTACTTGGTAATGGCCCTCAGCAGTGTTCCCTATGGCTAACCCTCCTGGGGAGATCCACCTCAACTCTCTCGGGGCCCCACCTCCCCAAACAGCAGCGGCCAGGTAAATTTCCACCCACCTTCTAGAGGGATGTTCCAGCCATAGCAGAGCTGTGGATTTTATTATAGTGGGTACTCAATTTCTTCAAGGTGTATGTCCAAGCACATGTAAGGTGCTTGGGATCAGTTTGAGCCTTTTGAAGCTTGATTTTAAATTTTAAGGAAGGTCAGTGTTTCAAGACTCATTTAGTCCCACGAGTAAGATGGTATCCTTCTGGGGACTCTGTGTGCTGTGTGCGTGGTGTGTAAGAGGCCTCTCTGTTTCAGCTGGTGTGAAGATAACCACCCGTGTTGCGTGGCCTCCTTCTTCCCAGTAGAGCCCCCCCTCCACCAAGCCCTGGTCTATGCCTCCCCTGCTCTGTGGTTGCTGGGCTCTGGGTTCTCCACCTGCTGGGACAGGGACTGGTGAGTCCAAGACTCTCCTCATTTCCATCTCCCTGGTTTCTACTTGTTTACAATAGGAGGAGGGCCTTTCCCCTGGTGATTGGCGCTTCATGGGGGAAGCAGAAGTCTTTTTCCCATTTTCCATTTAAAGAATCCTAGCCAAGAACTTCACCCAGTTTGTCTGGTGACCCTCCTGCTTCCATGAGCCAATCAAGGTGGGGACAACAAAGGGCAAAGGGCGCAGAGTCAGGATTTCTAAGGTTGGAATGTGGGAGAATCAGTCCCCTGTAAAAAGTGGAGAGCTCTTTTCAGAAGCAGGAAGGGCATGCGCGGGGGGTGGCAGAAAGAAAGAAGACGCAGGTTCATACAAAAAGGATCTCAGAGTGGAGCAGGAGACGGGCTGTAGGAGCCCCATGGTCCAGAAGGCTGAGTTCATTCCCAGCCCACGTTTTCCAGGGTCAAGGACAACACAGAGGGCCCAGTGTGCAGAGATGCCTTGTGCAACAGTTGCACTGAGATAGATAGAGGTTTGCAGGGCTCTCCTCTGCCTCCCCTCCTCTGCCCGACAGCCCTGGGCTGGGAGGAGCCCTCTCCCACCTCTCAGGAGAGAGCTGGGGCTGGTCTATTCTTCTAGACTACACACATTTGAACCCCATGAAGAGTTTTATTTTGGTAACTGAAACTCCTGTTCTTCGCAACAGTTGAACCTGAGAATTCCACCTGAAGTGTGGAGCGTGCTCTGGGAAGGAGGCAGTGCGGGTTCCATCCTCTTCTGATAATGCCCATAACCCATCTTCCAACCTCTCCAGGGTGTGTGGAGGGCTCAGGAAGGACGTCTCAGGAGGCCACCTTGGTGCCTGCTCTCCTGGTCTGGTTTTGGCATTCCATCTGCCTAGTGAGTGTTTCAAACCTTCCTCTGCAGAGACTTGTTTAACTCTTTCCCCTTGAGTGAGGTATGGTGAGGCCAGAGGCAGACCAGGAGAGGGGAACTGGAGTTCCACACTTCTGTTCTCCCAGTTCCCTCGGGGATCAGGGCTCAAGCAGGGTCACAGTCAGAGGAAGGGAGGACCTGTCAGCAAACACCACCCTGTGGTTTAGGAGGGCAGAAAAGCCGCAAGAGGAATACCAGGCTCAGGAAGGGCTGACTGATGGTTCCAGTGGGCTCTGGCCAGAGCTGTCTCCAGTGTCTGGTCCTTGACCCTGGGGTGTCTAGAGTGGCCGCATAGTGGCCTGGAGCGTGAGAATGTGATAAGAAGGGAACTGACTCGTCTCCAGCCAGGACCTTGAAACTGAGTCAAACAGCATTTACAAACCTCACATCTCAGGTGGGTTGTGGGTTCCCTGGAGACGCCTGACCACAGAGGACACCAAGGTGCACCAGTCTGTCTCCTGTCTCTCCCCAGCATGTTCGTATATACACCTGCACCTCTGTACAGCCTCTATCTGGCTGGCTCTTTTCTGCTAAGGTCTGAGTTCACCTTGCCTCTTCCCCAAAGMCCTCCTGGGCGAATTCCTTAGAGAAGGCTCACACTGGGTCTCTCCTCTGCTGCGGAATGCTACAGGCTGTGAGCATCAGCAAGAGAACAGGCTCAGAGACAGCACCACAGAGGACCCGGGCTGCTGCAGGGTGGGAAGTTGGCAAAGCTGAGGACGAAGACATAGCTCTCCTGTGTACCAGAGGACCATCCAGGCCCACCACAGGGTTGAGCAAAACCGGGCTCCCGACTGGAGTGCAAAATCTAGGGGCACCATGAAATTCTGTGGTCAAGACAAATACTATTTAAAGCAATGTTCTTAAAGTACATTAAAATGTTTACGTGGGAGCCAGTGTGGCTCCTCCTGGCTCCCGACAGGGGCAGCGGCTTCCAGCTCACCCAGCCCTTCAGCAGAGGCTTGAAGAAACTAAGGCCAGCAGCGAGGCCCCGAGAGCATGGTGGCGGGAGGAGACAGCTCATAGGAAAATCCGAAGCACCTGCGGCAACAGAGCTAGGGGCAATTTGGGAACCTATGGTGGCGATCCGGTTGCAGGCAGGGACGGGATTGAGTGGGATTCAGGAATCGTCTAGGGAGACACAAGCCTAGGGTTGTTTCTTACACAGTAATGGCCTATGGGGGACAGAACGAAGAGGTCAGGTCTGGGTACAGGCCAGTCCCTCAGAAGACTAGCGCATTATCCGAGTGAGCGGTGACAGCATCCCACCCAGACAGGTGCAGATGGACTCCCAAAGACCTCGTGCGGACCTGGGTTTCCCCGGTGACACCAGGGTGGGCGGCTCCCAGTCTCCCGCAGGGTGCCCAGGGCGCGGACCCGCCCGAACTCGGCGGGGGCTGGGGCCAGCGGGCGGGGCGGTCCCGCCAGCAGCCTGACCGCGCGCCGCCCAATCGCTGCGGGCGCGGAGCCGGGGGCTGGGGCCGCCGCCCGTACGTGCCGCGGCTGCGCCGACTGCGCGAGAGCCGGGCAGGCAGAGCGCGCTCAGTCTGGCGGCGGCGGCCGTGCGCGCACTGACGTGCCGAGCGCCGCACAGCCCGCACCGAGCCGCGCTGCCACCGGGCCGCGCCGCCGCCCGCCATGGTGTCATGGATCATCTCCAGGCTGGTGGTGTAAGTGGCCTTCGCCCTCTCCCCTCCGTGCCCCCTCCTGTCCAGCCCCGGCCGCGCGCCCCTGCTGCGCGGGCCGGGGCGCCGGGCTATTAATACCCCGCGCCGCTAAATTTAGCAGGTACAGTAGCTGCCCCTGACGCCGCGGGACCCGCGTGCAGAGTCGCCCGCTGCCGAGGCGGGGGCTGCGGGGCTGCGCCTCGCCGCGCCCCAGCCGCTTTGTTCCCGGTGGACAGACTGGCAGAGGCCTCGAGGGGCGCGCCGCGGTGACACACGCGTCTCTGGGGGAGATGCCGGGGTCGCTGGGCACCCGCCCCTGCGCCACGCTTTTGTCGGGTGGAGGCAACAGACAGAGCCCAGACGCGCKAGGGGCGCTGCCCAGAGGGTCAGCGCGAGGACGGTGGGGAGACAGAGGCGGGGTCCCCGGAGGTCGGAAAATACTCCTTTTTAGGTTTCTCAGATCGACGGCGGCAAAGGCAGGATGGCTGTGAATCTTGGGGTAGACACCTGCGTCCCCCAGGTCTGATTTCTGTTGCAGGGGGTGGGAGATGGGGCAGGCGTCTTTAGGAATGCCCAGGAAGTCTCCAGGTGACAGACCGCCCCCAGGGCGGTAGCACTGACACCTCCAGGCGCAGGAGAGCAGAGTCATCTGGGGTGAGGCCCGTGAAGTCCTTGGGGATGGGCGTGGGGGACATTTTTATCCTAACCTTCCCCACCGGGGGGCAGGACAGATGTGCCACCTGCTCAGAGCAGCCAGGGCTGGCATGGGCCTGGGGTGGCTGAGGGGCACGGGCCTCGGCTTTTCTTTGTCTGAAAAAGAGGGGTCTAGAGGATTGTGCCTCATCACTGCCGGCGTTTGACACATGGTCGCGTCCCCTCCTTCACTGATTCCAGAGCAGCAGCGGGGCAGTGCTCTCAGGTCCTTCCCAGCATTGTTTTGGGCACCTCCCGGCTCTCTTCCAAAGCCAGTGCCTTGCTTCTTGCCCCCTAGTCAGTCCCTCAAGGCCCCTTCACAGCTGCCGCCAACTGTCTTTTGGCTTGAGCTGTACCTTGAGAGGGCATGCTGAATATTTAGAGGATTCCTGCAGGCAGAGCCCCATGAATGACACAGGAAAGCCTGGCAGCCCTTGCCACACCTCAAGCCTGGCCAAGGCCCTTCTTGCCTTCAGGGTGGACCGTGATCTCTACATTTATCAGTGGCTGCTGCAGGGCCCTCAGGGTGGGGCAGCAGAGGTTAGTAGGCCTGACTGGTGCTCTCTACAGGTCCACTGGGCTGGCGTGAGAGCTGAATGGGGACAGGAGACCATCTTCAGTTTTATCAGCACCACCTCCCAAAGAAGGGGGCAGCCTTGCAGAGTAAAAAGCAGACGCGGATGTGGGAGGGGTCTCTGTGACCATTCTTTTCCCAAACAACCACACTCTGCAGAACCAGACTTCAGAGAATTTAAATGACCCTGAGAATTGCCACCCCCTCAGGTCAGGGGAGGGTTGGTGGGATTTGGGCTGTTGGTCCCACTGGACTCCAAAAGGTCAAGATGGGTATCATCTGTCCCCCAGTCCCCAATTTACTATTTAAGCCCAGCGTGAAGTATGAATTATTAGCTCCACTTTTAACAAGCAATAACACCTGTTTTATTATATAAGTAATACCTGCTCATTATAGGATAACTAGAAAATGTGCATGAGCAGACTGGAAATCATCCACAGTAGCACTACACAGAGATAACTAACAATGATTTTGAGGGGCCTATTCTTTTTTAAATTTTTTTTTTTTTGGTTGTGGTTAGACACAATACCTTTATTTTATTTATTTATATTATATGGTGCTGAGGATGGAACCCAGAGCCTCACATGCTCTAGGCCAGTGCTCTGCTGCTGAGCCACAGCCCAGGCCTGAGGGGCCTATTCTTATGCATATATGCCCTTGTACTGACATTTATGATTCAAGGGAATGGTTGATGGCCCAGGACTACACATCTAGGGGAGCATCTTAGGAAGGGGGAGGAATATTATGTTTGGACTCAGAAAACCCATGGTTCAAATCCTACTTCTACCTCTTGCCAGTGGTCCCAGGTCCTAGCCCAGATCACCACAGAGCTTAGTTCACAAGCTAATTAGCCCCATGTTGCTGTTGCATTGATTTCAGTGACACACAATGGGTGAACTCCTCAGCACCTGGAGAGTCCCGAATCAATGGTGACTCCCCTTGTCCTCCTAGGTACACCACAAGAGCATGGAAGAGCTCTGGAGGGGCTTTTTCGAGCTGGATTCCCTAAGGGCCAGTAGCCTGAGTAGGTGGGCTCTGGCTCCAAGCCCCGGTTTGGCATGAGCAGCTCTCCTTTGGCTCACTTTATATGTTGGGATTTTAGGTTAACTATGATGAGGAAAATATCTGGGTTTAACTGCTAATAAAAATCACTGGTCTAGTCTGCCCCACTTCTCTGTCCAACTGCGGAGGGAAGGAATGTCCCTTGCCCAGAGACAGAGCTGAGCTGGGGAGAGGAAAGAAACTCTGGACTTTTTATTCCAAACCCCTTCCACCTTGGGCACCCTGGGGTCATGCTGAACTGAGCTCTGTCCAGCTCCTGAGCTCCCTGGGAGAGCAGCCTACAGTTCTGTCTCTAGTCCCATTTCCTGTGAGCAGTCTTTTCAAGGTTGTGTCAGCCTTTGTCACATCAAAGAACATTAAAGGAAGACCTATGTGTCCTGAGGATGGAGAGGGAGTGCCTTCCTGTCTTTGTGGTCCCAGGCACCCCCCCCCCAGGGGCCTAGAGAGGAGCAGATGGCCCCCAGGGACAGCTGCCTGAGTGCCCAAGGGCAGCGGTGACTTGTCTCCCTCTCCAACCCCTCGCCCCTCCGAGGGCTCTTTTTAAGGCACCTATGCCACCCAGCAAAGGTGGTTGCTTTGAAGAGATCAGAGGCCCTCTGTATAAGGAGGGACACCGTTTGGTGCTGTTCCCTGGGAATGGAGTCCCTGGGTGGGCATCATGACAGGCCTGTGCCCACTGGGCACAGTTCACTGAGTGGGCATCAGTTTGAGATACTCCTTTCTTGCCAGTTACTATCCTCTTTGGCATACCTGGGAAGAATTAATAAAGAACTCTTAAGGTGGGCCCTGCAGACAGACAGTGGGACGTCTGCTCAGACAGGAGGCTCGGGGCTTGCTGCTCACCTTGTATAAAATACTTTGTTTTCTTTACAAACAGCTCAAGGCCTAAGCTGCATATGTTTCACCCTGGGGAGGATATGTTCACATGTACCTCGAGGGAGGGGGACACAGACGTTCTGTGACTTGGGAGAATGTGCCCTTTTGTAGCATTTACTCCAAGAATCAAATGTTACTTCATTGTCTCTGGACCCAGTTTTGGCCAAGGTCCAGATGGGTGGCTGAACAGAGCTTCCCAGGGCAAACCCCGCTCACTGTGCAGGGAAACAGGCTTACCTCAATAAGGGTTTCTGAATGACCCACTGCTGGGCAGGAAAAAAATTCCTTCCACCCTGAACATCTTTTTAGTTTTAGGAAAGCACAGGGTGGTGCTCAAGACAGAAGCTTAGCTTAATGGCTGATTATCTGGCCACGTCCCAGGAGAGCACTGTGGGGGGCTCCTCCTGGGTCAGGATGTGAACCTGCAGGAGAGGAAGGAATGTGGGTTGTCCTCAAGACTCCTTATCACTGCAAAGCAAGCAGAAAAACACAAACCCTTAAACATAGGCTTGGCTCCTTGGGGGCGCTGCCGTGTGCCCCCCCCCCCCCAGGGAGCTGGGTCAGAGGAAAAGCTCGGGAGGGAGTGCAAGGGTTCCAGGTCGGAGTCTAAGGGCACCACGGCCCACCTGCCCACCTGGGGACCAGGTCCTAGGAGTCCTCCTGGCTCTAGGGTCCCTGCTCTTCCAGGCCCCTTCCCCCACCTGGCCTGGCTGCACCACATCTATTCCTAAGCAGGAGGTGTCCTCAAGGAAGTGACAAACGCCAGCTTGGACGTCACTGCGGTTCAGCTGCCTCATCGTTGCCCGCCTGCTGGGAAGTGGCTGCTGAGGCTTGTCCCCACTGTATGGGAGGCTAGCTGACAAGGGGCCTCACCTGCTGGTTACCAGTCCTCCCTCCTTCCTTCTGAAAAGGGCATCTTCCTTGCAGGTGTATTATTAGGGGTGGAAGTTCATTGCCGAGGACGAGGACGAGCCTCACATGTGCCCTGGTCACCAGCTACCAATAAGAGCTGCAAGTGCCTGCCCTTTGGCTCTGAGGATGCTCTCCTCTACTTCTGGGCTTTCGAAGGCCCTGAGGGATTGGTGGATGGATAATTATATACAAATCATTTGTTCCGAACCTTCAGATCTTGTCTGTCTTCACACAGAATTACATTGTTGACCCTTTGGGGAGTTTTAGTGACTCCTTAGAAAAAGGGAATGTTGTTAAAGGACAGGATGTTTGGTGCATGGTGGAGGAGTTGGGAGGAGCCTCCATGGGCAATCAGGGCAGCCCTTCAGGCGTGGCGCGGGTGCTCAGGGCAGGGCTAGCACACCCATTTCATCTCTAGCTGCCATCTCTAGCTGCGGCGTGAGCTGCCTGGGAGGAGCACAAGGCTGGGCTGGGTTCAGTGGGGGAAGGAGTCCCAGATCCTGCAGGGAAGGGGACTTTCTTCCTGCATGCTGGTCCAGGGTGGGCTCTCCCAGGCCTAGCCTGTTCCCAATCAGGAGAAGTGTGCCCACTGTGAGAGGTACCCGACTGATAACCAGAGCACCCACTGCCCCGTTCCCATCCCTTCCCGTCCTGCCCCGGCCACACCTTCAGACACCTGGCTCCTTGGGTCCCAGATGCTGCAGCCAGCACAGGGAGCTGTCTAGCTGGTGCTCTCCACTCCACCTCCTTCCTCTTAGGATCATGGTACAACTGAGTCCCTTCTCCTTTGCTCTCTTGACACTGACAGCCGGGTTTTGGTTGGTGGCACTTCCCCGTGCACGTTTGCAGTTGTGCTCTTTCTGGCTTATCCTTGGGGACTGTGAAT